ACGAAGGGGTGTGGCTAGCCACTCTATTCATCCCCCTCTATATCCACCAATTGGGCGGGTGTGGGGGGGGGGGGGCGGCCTACCGGCTGGTCCCCCGCCCCTTGAATCCGCCTATGAAATATTAAAAGGTATAGAAAATTACAAAATACTGTAATGAACACATAAAAGTAAGCACGCCACCTCTCGGCGAATATGATAGGAATTATGAAATAGGGTATTCATGAAATAATGCAGAACGATTACCTAATCGGGGAGTTCCGAGGTTGGCCTAGTCTATTGTTCTTTTTTCTGATTCCGTAAGTGTAATATTTGATGTTTTTTTTTCATCTGTATTATGAAATTACATGTTTTTAACTCAAAATTGTTACTTTGTTATCCTACCAACGTGGAGGTTTTCATAGTAACTCCACAGAGTGCTGGCTATGCCCAGCCCAGGGCGTCTGCCATGAAGAGGTTATTTAGCCTGAGTGAGATGCTTAGGCCTATGCTGAATCAGTGGCTAGCAAAGGCTGTGCCCTATGGCTATGCTAGGCCTGTCTGGGGTACTTGGCTAGAAAACAGTAGGCAAGGAGTGATCGGCTTTGCCAAATACAGCACCACTGAGCCTAGCAAACCGAAATAAAAGATACAACAAAACAATACAAGATAGAAAATTGGAATTATTTTTGTTAACTTGTTTGTAGTTAGTACATGTACATAAATTGCTTTATTTGATATATAGGCCTAGGCCTATCATAAACCAGAATTTCATCAACACATTTTTTGAAAATAATGCCTGATTTGCATGCAAAAATTTAGGCCTCGTGCTATCTCTCAACATTCAGCCCATACTGTAAAGTATTTTAATTGGGAGGATAAATGATACTTCAAAAACTAATTTGTATGAAAGTGAAAAATTGCTAGGTAAATGCATGCGCAGAACCGTAACTACTGCATAATACATTGGTTATTAAATTAAGGTTTAGGTCAAGGCCAAATTTTTGGTAAAACCTGCATGAAAAATGACCCTTATTTTCTAAAATGCGTGGACAGATTTCTAGACCTAATTTTTGCAGAGGATATTTTTCACGCATGTCTTATTTTACAGTCTGGTATACAACCAATGTATTAGGCAGTAATTCAGGTTCTGCGCACCTATTTTCCTAGCGATTTTTCGCACAAATTTGCATTGGTTTTAGCGATATCCTCCGCGCAAATGAAATACTCTACAGTGTGAATATGAGATTTGGTTTCTAGGCTAGATATAGGGCTAAGCCCGGTTGCCTCCTTACCCAAAATTTATACAAAAATCAAAAAAATAACAATTAAAATCATTGGAACAATCTATGACATATTAATTACAAACTGTCATTATTGAATCAGGTTAAATTAAAACCTTATTTTTTTTAGAATTAGCTATAAATACAGACATTTTTATAGGCCATGGTTACTGTTCAGTGGCAGGTCCAGGAGTTTGAAATAGAGGGGACCCAGGGAGGGACTTTCGCATATGGACGGCTATACCACCTCGGGCCCATCATGGTTGGGGGCTGAGATAAGAAAATATATGATTATTGCACCTCTAGATGGCCGGAATTGGCACTCTCAGATTTTAATATAATTTTCTTTTTTTCTCCATTTTTATAATTTTTAAAAATGTAGGGGGCCAGGGCTGGTTGGGCCTCCTACCCCACTCTTCAATCTGCTACTGCTGCTCTAACAATTCTGTGTAAATATGAGGTGCTGATTGGTGGAGCTGGCTTATACCTGCCTTAAACTTCAGACTCAATATCTAATTATAGCATGTCATAGCCACTTAAAAAAAAAAAAAATTTAATGCTCATTCTCTTTAAATAATTTAAATTCTTTTTAATTTACAGGTTAATACAATTTTCAATTTCATACTAAACCCTAAAGACATGGATGAGTCTACATTTTTATCAAGGGTTCGAGAAGGCACAGCAACTGTTGAAGACTTAAATGAACTGATTTCAATAAATGGAGATGTAAATGCCATTGATCCCTTTGGCAATAGTGCTCTTTTGTACTTAGCTTCAAATAGGAACAGTGAGAATAGAAACAGTGAGTTATTTACATCATTGGTAAGAGCAGGAGCAAATGTAAACTTCAAGAACAAAGATGGATGGACTCCGCTAATGAAAGCAGCTGCAAACAACAATGTTGAATACATTAAGTGTCTTGCCTTAAACGGAGCTCACATGAATATAACTACATTTCAACAAGAAACAGCAGTGACAATTGCAGCAGTAAGAGGCAACAAACCTGCCCTGGAGGCTTTGTTGCAGCAAGGTGCTTGCAAGTACCACGAGGCTAAGCAATTCACTGTCATCAATTTACCAACATTAGCTCTTGCAATTTTCCAAGGGAGTAACTTGGAGTCAGCTGTAAAGGATACAGCAGAAAGTCTTAAAGAAATGAGTAAACATGAAATGTTTGTTCAGAGCTGTCTTGACTTTGGATTTAGTGCTTTACATTTGGCAGCAATATCAGGTGTTCTTAATCTTGATAAATTGCTTGGAAAGGGTCTTGAAGTTGATCCATTAACAGAAGAAAGAAGAACCCCATTGATGTTGGCAGCACAGAGTGATAATCTACCAGCTGTGAAATGGTTCATTGGACATGGAGCAAACATCCAATCATCTGATAAATTTGGTGTGACCTCTTTACATTTAGCAACTGCTAATGGACACTCTAAAATAGTAGAGTATCTTCTTACAGAAGGTGCAGATGCTGATGCATTAGATAGTACTGGTTTGACTTCATTAATGTTTGCGACATATTTTGATCATAAAGAAATCATTAGAATTCTATTGAGTAGTGGATCTGATACATCCATAGGATCCAAAGCAGGGATTTCAGTCTTACATATTGCAGCATTTCAGAACAATAAAGATGTTATTGCACTCTTTGTATCCAAAGGCCTTCCACTGGATGTTGCAACTGAAGATGGTCGCACAGCATTGATGTATTGTATTCCTAAAGACTGTAAGGAGGCTTTGGGGACTTTAATTTCTGCTGGAGCAGATATAAATGCTACTGACATGAATGGATGGACAGCACTTCATTACTCTTGCATTATTGGAAATGTCAATATGGCGTTGATTCTTTTAGAAAAAGGTGCCAATGTTAATATAGTGGCTCAGAAGACGCCAACAAAAGACATTTTGGAAGATGAGTTGAAACTAAACTCTTCAACCCCAGAAGAAGTTAATAAAAACTTTGTTGGTGTACAGTGGACACCTCTGACTTTAGCTTGTGTGCTTAGCAAGGTAGAGGTTGTAAAACTGCTTCTCAGATATGATGCAGGTGCTGATGGCAAGGTACAAAATGCTTTGTTAAGTTGTATAGGGGGTGCTGTACTTCAGAAATTTGGCTATAATCATGATGTTGATAATGGCAACTATGCAGACATTGTGAGCTTACTGGTTGGACATGGTGCTGATGTTGATTGTAAAACAGATGATGGAAGTTCAATGTTAATGATTGCAGCTACCCATGGATTAGAAAGCATTGTTGTCAGACTTTTGGAGTTAGAAGCTGATGTTTTGTATAGAAAAGAGAGTAATTCCACTGCTTTGGGACTAGCTTCTCGGAATGGTCAAGAGAGGGTGGCTAAAATTCTGCAAGACTGGATTGTGAAAGTGCGACCACAGAGTCACAGCCGCGACAACTTTGATGAAGTTGATGCAGCATCCGTTGGTCCAGAACCAGCCATAGAAGTAATTGATCAATTACAGTTTGCCATTCAGGATATAAATCGAGCCATGAGTCATATGCAGGTTGCCATGCGAACTCAGGTGTCACCAGGTGGAGATCCAGCAATTGCCACTTACACCTCTGCTCTTGGTTACCAACTGAAGAACTTTGGAAGCTTCCTTACTGGTCAAGTAGATGAGGTTGACCCACAAATTGAAGAACTTGCTAATAACCTCGGTCCAGAGTGGAAGCAGTTGGCAATGTATTTAGGATTTAACAGCTCTCAAGTTAGTCAGTTTGATTCAATTCCAGAGAATATCTCAAAAAGAATTACAGCAATGTTGATGAGATGGCAGAATACAGTTGCAGATAAACAAGAACGTGATAGAAATCTTTCAGCATCACTTAGGTATAGTAATCGCTATGATCTTGCTGAAAAAATCACAAAAACCGAGGTGCCAAGACCAAGTGAAAACATTCTAATGAGACTCTCCAAAAATCTCAGCAAAGAATGGACAGATGTTGCTGTACATTTGCGGGTAACTAGGGATAATGTTGAGCAGATACGGATGCAGCATCAACGAGTTGAGGATCAAATTTTTGAGATGTTATTGGTATGGGCTCGTGGACCGATGCCAGACCATTGGGAGTCAGTGCTTAGATCTGCATTAAACAAATTAGAGCGAAACGATTTAATTGTAATTCTATCCGAACGTTAACATGGCGTAATGTGGTTTTCTACTGTATGGTAGATGTTACAGTAATTGAAACCCATTCCTGTCATCATTTTTGGACATAGTTCTATAGAGTATTGCCATCAAGTACCATTCATTCACAACAAGATGTTGATGTTACACTGTAGTTCAAGCCCATTCCTGACATTGCATATTCCAAGTTTTGATTTCAGTGTGATTTGTTTTGCTATTAAATAGGCATAGATACATATTCCTTTGCATTGCAGTATTAGTTCAGTAGTGTCCTTTTAATATTGAATATTATGTTATTATTTGTACTGCATAGTGCGATATTCAATATGTGTGGATTATTGTAATAGTAGTGCACATTTTGTTTTAAACTGCAATTAACAAGAATGGCACATTTAAAAAATGTTCAGAAGATATACAAAGCTGAACTTTATTATCATAATAGCTTTAAACCGTCCTATAGACAGGTGATTATGGACAGACCTTTTGGCAAAGATGAAGACGTACCCATCACTGACAAATGCTGAATGGACACACTGGGATCTGAGTTGGTACGCTACCTTGTATAAGTGCACAAGCAACTTAATCTATATTTTCTTAAGGAATTTTATACAATGTCAATACTGCCCAATAGTTAGCCATCACACGACAACGCCCACTCCCTAAGTTTCATTATGAGACCTAGTTATTTTAAGTGTAACTGGACCCTGTGGGGAGGGAGCATATCTACTGAACAGGATACCCAGTATAGGAAGAACAAGAGCGACCGCTCACCGGTCCGGATGTTCTTTTACTCTTAAATATGATACAGGTGCAAGTTAATATATTGGAGGTTTTGGAAGAGCAAATAAGTTCAAACATTTTTAATAATTAGGATGTTCATTTGTACACAAAAATATTATTTAGAATGTTCATTTGTACAAGATTAAAATATCTTAAAATCAAAAAAACTAAAATTTCTTAAAATTGGGGGAAAATAATTGAATACCAAGACGCGATTCAAACTCACAACCTTAAGTTCTTTAGAAGATATTCTTAACCAACTGCCCCATCCATGGGATGTGCCCTATTTGTGGCAATGGCAGTAATGTACAGTCTTTCCTGAAACCCCTATTTTGTTTTGTAGGTGTTGGGGGAACCCTGGGGCCCAACTTAAAGGGCGATGAACGTTTGTTGGAAATCACCTCTAGTTTATGTGTAAAAAATTTCATGTACGTCCATTCTAAACAACGCTGGGCGCTTTTGAAGTTTTTTGGTAACAAGAACAAGCACAGGAACAGGAACAGGGCTCTGGACCTGAATTTATCTATCTGAACTTAGCAAATGTCTTTAAGTCAAATAAGTTAAGATGCCCCTAAGCAAATATCTTAAGCTGATTTATTAAACTGATTTATTAAACCATCTTAGTACAATTTTAGCTTAAAAATCGTCATCGATGGTGCATGCGTACAATCGTCTTTTTAATTTTAAGCAATCTTTAAGCTTAGTAATATTGATAAATCTGATTTAAGCAAAAAAATTGACTTAAGATGAATTTTAGCTAATTTGTAGTTTGATAAATCCAGCCCCTGGGGTCAGCTCCTTGCACGGACCCAAACAAATGAAATAAATAAAACCCAGACTATATACAAAATCAACAACTCTTCACATGGCCACACCACACGTAACATGAGAACATGAATGCGTGCAGACGGGGGAATGGGCTAGGCCAGGCTAGGCTAGACCAGGCCAGGCCAGGCTAGGGAACACAGTGATGCTAATTTGCCTTAAAATGCAACATGGAATCCAAAAATTGTGTTCTAAAGTCTCTTTGATTGATGGGTAAGATTGTAGGAAGCTCATCTTCGTAGGAAATAATTATAATCTGTATTATTTATTGCTATTAATGGTTTTTATTTTGTGATGTCCAAATACTGACTAGTACTTTGATACTTATATTGAAATAGTACTTATAAAATTAAATTCAGTTGACATTATTAAGTATTAAGCAACAGAGATTAAGTGATATATTACAATGTGAATATATATTCTGATAATATGTATGTGATTAATGCTCAAGTAGTTTTACTGAAAGTCGCATTAAAAGTTAACTAATAAGACATAACTACTGTATACCAAAAAGGCGATGAATGATGTGACCATTCAAAGACACTTTTGAGAGACACTTCACACACATCAATTCTGTATATAATTTTTGTGCAAAAGTATGAGTTCATTGATCCAATTAAAAAAGTGCATTAGAATTCCAGCCAATATATTTTTCTTGTGATATGGGATAATAAAAAAATTTTTTATTATCATCATCTTTATCATTATTACCGTATTATCATCATTATTATTATTATTATTATTATTATTATTATTATTATTGTTAATATTATTATTATTTATTTTTATTTGTTACAGACCCAAGCACCTGCAATGCCAGTATGTTCGTCCCTTTAGGAATTCTTCATTTTATGAATTACTCAGGAAATGTGTTTACAGTTTTTGAAGTCGGTTAGCTTACTCTGGCAGTAGTCTTGTGCGACTCATTATGAACAATTTATTTAAGCATTCTTTTTTATTCAAGAAATGGAATGAGCTATTGTAAAGCTGTGATGTAGACAGGGACGTATCCAGGGGGAGCCGCCGCCCCCCCCCCCCCCCCCCGGGGGCGCCGCCCCTCTCCGCTTTGTACACAATGTTAAAATTTTAGAGCTTGTTCTTGAGCCAATACAAATTCTTTCCTGGAATCACTCAAAATGAATACTTCTAAAACATGTAAATATGCATCAGTACACGTTATACACATAGGCCGAATATAACAAGTAGGCCTAAGTGTGATTAAAAAATCTTAAATCCATAAGTCTCAGGTCTTTTATAATATAGAAAATGTGATACTGTATGGTTCAGTTTGGTGTTTATCCTTTTGTAAGCTTCTTTAAAGTTTTGTTTAAAAATACTACTACTAATAGTAATAATAATAATAATGATGATGATGATGACGATAGTTATAATTTATAATACTATTAATAACATTAAAAAGTTAAGAAAAGTTGTGCTAAATGGGAAAAAAAGTTGTGATTATTGATCATAATTATAATATTAGGCCTATATTTAAAGCTTAGTAAGCTATAGTTAGGCCAGAGTTGTTCTGGATATTAAGTAGATCCCTGATAAAAGATCATGGCAAATCATGTTGGCGTTCCATTTTGACTATAATGGTGATGTGATGCTGATGAATTTTACTATATAAAAGTGTCATTTCCGGCCATCTAGAGGTACTATTTCCTCAAATTTTTCTCACCAGCCCCAACCATGGTGGGGTTGAGGTGGTTGTGAAATCACGGTTTTGAAGTATGTAGAGTTTTGAAGTACATAAAAAGACTTTGTTTTAAGCTTTGTCATATATTATATCACACACAAATTAATAAGATCCCTATGGTTGCCAAAAATCCCTGATAAGAACATGAGAATTTTGACTAATGGTGATGTGATGATGAATTTTACTAAAAGTGTCATTTCTGGCCATCTAGAGGTACTATTTTCTCACCTCAGCTCCAAACATAGTGGGTCCGAGGTGGGTGTTGACTCACAAAATGTCCTCCCCTCCACCTTTCAAAAGATCTGCACCCTTCCCATGGTATGCCATTAAACTCCATCGAGTCGGCACCTGACTCGGAGTATGTCTTGGTGACTGGTGAGGTGAGGGTCCATACATTGTTTTTAGGATGTGATCTGGTTTTTCATGCCCATTTTTCATGATTATGACTATTTTGGATAAAGAATGTTTTGAACAGAGATGGATTCAAGGCCATCCCCCTCCCCACACCCTCATTAAAAAAAAAAGAAAAATCCTGTCTCTTATACACATCTAGATGTGTATAAGAGACAGGCCTATGGAAGTCCCTCCCTGGTTCACCTCTATTTCGAATTCCTGGATCCGCCACTGTTGATTTATTATATAATTATTGTTGCGCTTACTAATATATAATGCGTCTGTTGCAATTTTCACTTTATCAGGCTCTCAAAACAGTCCTAAGTAGAACGTTCAGAGTGCGCTATTTCACAAAGGGCTTCGCCCATGGTCCCCGCCTGAGTCCTACGTGATTCTCATAACGGCTCCCACTTTCCAAATCCTGACTACGTACCTGGATGTAGACATATTTGTATCTTTGACTTTATTTATTATTATTATTATTATTATTATTGTATGAAAGCTACATTAAGGCTTAATGAATGTGAACATTTTGTTCTAAATATTTTGTTCTGAATTGATTCAGATTACGGTGGATTATGTTAATGTTTTAGTTTTAATTCATATTTATGAAAGCAAAACAAATACCGGTACCTGTAATCGAGAAATAATTTGGTTTACATAAATTCCGGAAATAGTATCATTCGAAAATATTACCAAATTGATGTTAATTGAAAGCAAAGCTCAGATTTACATAGTTACACACCAACGGCAGCGGAAGCAGGGGGCGGGGCCACATTGTTAACGAACACTATACAATGCCATTGAGAGACCTTTTTATTTTCGCCTTATAAACGACCTTTCATTATTATTATTATTATTTTTTTTTTTTTTTTTTTTTTTTTGTAATACAGTAGATTACATACTGTAGGCATACATTAAGACCAACATAAAAAGCTAAAATGAGAGAGTGTGCTTTTCAATCAATGTAATATCAGGTGGGCGCCAGGATTTTAGCGACTGGGTATGTGAGAGGGAAACGAAAAATTAGTTTGCGTAGTCGGATCTCTCGAAAGTGTTCCAGGGAGGCGAAGCCCCAAGATATTTGAAAATTAATGGGTTTCAAATTCTTATTTACTGTAATCGATTTTAGAGGCTACTAATTATGTAGAAAATACGTGTAATTTGTTGTCCTCCCCGACGACTTGTGGTTCATCTCCTTCGCCTCCCGCCCACCCTACCTGGCTTCACTCCTTTGTAATATATATATAATAGTTTTTGAACAACGGTTAGGTAAAATGCGTTGCATATTATTAATATTATAATATTATACAGTATTATATGCCATTTAGTAGAAGAGCACCGTAAGTGGCTCTATCAAAACCAGGCTAGGCCAGGCTATGATAGGTTTTATGCCTTTTTTTTACCTTTGCCTTTCAGAAGAAACGAGAAATGTTGCAATATATCTGTTGTTCTGTTGTGCGCATTTTTTTTTCCTACGAAGGAGATGAAAACTTTGAAGTGCTCAACCCAGACAGAGGGCGTTCTTGCAATACGAAAGATTGTGTGGTGTGGGTTGTAAAGGGCAAGATCCTACACTGATAGTGTGTATGAATACTTTGATCCTTTTTTTTTTTTTTTTTTTTTTTTTTTTTGCAGGTTGGAGACATTGGTCATTTTAAATCATTTTCATTAGAAATTGCCTGTGGTGATAACTATCCAACAGAGTTACTTAACTTCGATGCATTCTACATTAATTATATGTAAGTGATGTACACACATTTCAAACTCTTTTTTCAGGAAATTATTTCAGTGATCTATTTTTGTTGACTTAAATATAAGTTAATCTACTATGTAAATTATCACCATGTTGTGTTAAGGCCAACTCAGACAGCGTCGGCCGACGCAGCCCGACCCGATTTATCGTCGGGGACAGTCTTAAGCCGTCGTGAGAAATATTAAACATGTTTAATATTCTACTACGCGACTGCTAATATTAACTTGCAAATGAATTAAATAACTGACTATCAGCATGAAAGTACAATGTTCCACATTGTACTTTTATGCTGATAGTGAGTTATTTAATTCATTTATACCTTTCTTATTTCTTTATTTTCTGAATTGAATTTTTTTGTACATTTTGAGATATTTTTATTGGTATTCGAATAATAATTGTTATTGAAATTAAATATTTAAATATTATGTAATTGTAAATAATATATTTATTAGGTCACCACAATTTGTAATTAATTTCAATGGTTTTAATTTTGTAATTATATTTTAATTATCTTTCCTTTTAATTGATTGTCTTTCAATATTGTAGATATTGAATTTAAAACTTTTAATTGATCTGTATTGTATTGTAATAATTTAGAATTGTATATTATAGTTTGTTATGTAATTAATAATATTTATTTTTGACTAAATTTTCCAATTTTAATTATTTTAACAATGTAATTAATTATAAGTATATTTTTGTAGTTTTTCTATATAATATTTTTGTAATTTGATTGTATAATGCTGCCTGTTTTATATTGTATTTTATCAATTTTTATGTAAAGCGCTTTAAACAGAACTCTAAAAATGCGTTATATAAATTAATATTATTATTATTATTTTTATTATTATTATTTCTTGATTTTACATCAATAGTTGTCATTTAATTTAACTACTATTTTGGAGACTGTTCTCGTATATAAATGAATGAGTTGAATCAAAGCGTTAAATAATGATAACAGAGTTTAGAATTGGTTTGTGTATTGTGTTTATATGTTTACAAAATTATCTTGGTGAAGGGGTTGGTAGTGTGACAAAGAACAGCCATTCAGCATGTCTAATGTGTTGTAGCACGCTATGGTTTTCATTTGAAGGGAACTCAAATCAATTCCGTACATTTTTTAAACGTAAACATTTTGTTTTGAAAAGCAAGTGTACCGTACACCTGAATAAACAATGACTTTAATAAACTAATTCCTCCATGGTTCAATCAAAGTCTTAAATAAAAACAATGAATTTAATAAACTAATTCCTCCGTGGTTTAATCAAACCCTTAAATAAAAACAATGAATTTAATAAACTATACAGTACTGTATAAACACATTTTATTTTTGTTACAATTAATAATGAACTCTCTAGACTTCCAAGCTAGTTTTGTATTAGCTTTGATTTTGATGCACACTGACGCAACGGCTCGGTTTCCATAATCGCCCTGTTGCCGACAGTTGTCGGGAAGGTTGACCCTGGCTCAACTTTGCCGATTGCGTTGCAGACGAATCCGGGTGAACTGCTGGATGCCCTGACACAATCGGAAAGACACCCAGATTCGTTTGTAAGGCAATCGGCAAATTTTAAATGGGTTCAACCTTCCCGGTGGCTGTCGCCGATATCGGTGAGCGATTCTATGGAATTTCATTTATTTCAATTTATTCAGTTCATTCAGAGAGATAAAAACAAAACATTACAAAAGCACAGAAACAGATAAAAAGTACAAAGAACAATATCAACTGTATGAACTGAGAGGAATATACCCAAGACTTATTTCCATTGGGGTCCTCAAGACAGAAAGTGAA